ACACACACACACAAAATGCCCCCCCCCCCAACAAGCCACTTGCTCTTCTGCATTAATGCAACAGCCCCTTACAAAAAAAAAGAGGTGGGACGGGGAACATCTGATTTCCAAATAGGATTCTGCCTAATCTTATTAGTCGTACACATTCTGTTGTGCAGGCGGTGATGATTCCCATGATTCCCTGTCCTAATTCTCTGAAACATGAGACTACGGATGGAAAAAATTTACATTCTGTCATCATTACCAGGAAGATTCAATCTATTTTATTTTAGCTTTTTATTATTTGGGGCCTTCTTTGATACTGAGAGATGGTGCATTTAATTAAATGTTGAAAGATAAAAGATGAGGCAAGCATGAGATAGTGGCTGGCACATCTGCCTTGCAGTTCTGAGGTCCTAGGTTTGGATTTTTGGCTTTCCTTTGTGGAATACCGTGGGTCTTTCCAGGTATTCCGGCTTTTACTCACAGTCCAGCAACATGCATGTTTTTGTTTCATGCTATGTGCCCTGTAATTAAAACCAATCAACTCCCAATCTTGCCACTGGATGTGTCCAAATCATTGAATACAATACAATACAATACAATACAATACAATACAATACAATACATCCTGATTTATATAGCGCTTTCACAACAGCTGCAGCTGTAATAAAGCGCTTAACAAAACAGTTAACATCAAGTAAGTCTATAATTTAAGTCTGCTCTCTCCTTGTCCCCAAAACATCTAACACCTTGGCTGTTTCCAAAACATCTAACATCTTGGCTGTTTCTCTGATGAGCTCATTTCTAATCCTATCCAACATATTCACGACTAGAGGAAAACTCACCACCTTCATTTGCGCCACCTCTATTTCTGCGTCCTGTTGTCTGTTCAATGCCACTGTCTCTAATACATCCAACATGGCTGGCCTCAACACTTGTTCTCCTTTACTAATCACTGCTACTACCTCGCAACCACAATTGCCACTTGTACTCTTCCTTCACTCGCATTTTCCTCATTCATCAACTCCTTGGAGCAGGGGTGTCAAACTCATTTCACATTGTGGGCCACATATGGCCTCGGTAGATGTAAAGTGGGCCGGACCATTAAAATTATACCATACTCTGCTATAAATAACCAAAATAATGTCTTTCCTTTGTTTTGGTCTAAAGAAGCACAAGAACATCAGGAAAATGTTGAAATTTAATAAACAGATCTTTTACAAAACATTTCATGAAGCTCCTTAGATTTCCTTAGACAAATGTGCAATTTACTTTTATCATTGACATATATGTATTGCAACTGATCCCACTGATTGTACAAAGGCACACAACTTTAACAAGTAATTGTTATTGAAAAATATAGTAATGCACTTTAAGATTCAACGAGATTTATAAAGAAAGGATTTTTTAAACCATTTACACGTGCATATAAAATCTAAATTTAATCCCTGCCTACACCTTACAAACTAAGGAGAGTGCTATTAAATGTGTAAAGAATAAAGTATTCACATGTCCTTGATTGCTCTGCTGTGTTGGGTCTGTCTCAGTGAGACTGAGGCTGCTGTTGTCTTCTTCTCTGATCAAAACAATGTTGCCTTTTACTCTGATCAAAACAATGTGTCCCCTTAGCGGGTACTCCATGAATTGCACCTTATTAAAAATATTCATTCTGTGTCTTTTATGCATTTTTTCACTTTTAAATTATCCTGTGGGCCTGATCGAACCTCCTTGCGGGCCGGTTCCGGCCCGCAGGCCATATGTTTGACACCACTGCCTTTAAGAGTATTCTTTCCATCTATCCAGGGCACTACAGGGGTATTGGGACCAGTCAACATATTTCCATTACGAGCCTTATTCACCGTAACCTGCTGCATGTGCTTTCTATCTGTATCTCTCCGTTTGGTCAATTTGGCATGCGTTATCATAAGGACTGAAATTAACGCTGGCTCGGTGACCCAGGGCCATAAGGTGCCGTGTTGGGGAACCACCGACACACTGATGCTGGCCCACTACGAATTTCTATGTCACTAAAATTTGTCAGCTGCGGAAAATGGCCCGAAAGGACATTTTCAGGTTCAGTCCAAAAGACTTATCAACAGGCCAACTCGACCAAAACAGAATGTTTTGATGAGGCAAGGAAAAACCGAGACCCACACGCACTTTAGGGGTTAGCCTCATGTCACGAGCTTCATCAGTGGCATTGAGACCACAGAATGGTGGCGAGGAATAAATGGCAGTCAGGAAATGTTAAGCTTCAGCTCCAGATTATGATGTCCAATAATGCACAGATAACAACTGTGTGTTTACGAGAACTTTATTTATCATAGAAGTTGTAAAACGCTCACCAGCGTCAAGACATTTTATCTCACTGTGTTGCGACTGTTGTAAAACTTGTCGTTCTAAATTACGGAGGCCACCCCCCCTCCTCCCCGCTGTCAACAAAACAATTTTGGGTCATGAAAGATGGCCGTTAGGCCCGGGCATCCTTTGCCTGTCATGCGCTAACGCTTTGATATTTTGTCATATTATCCAAAACGTATTTTTCATTATGATGTATCTGCCAACCACTTTCGACGTGCATGCAGGCAATGACAATTAGTGGACATCTTGTACTGTTAGACCTAAGCGTGTAGAATACATACATAAATCATATAAGTTTACAAAAAAACGTTCACTGGAAGATCCAAAGAAAAAGCAAAATACACATGAATACAAAATTGAACTTAAGTCTTGCATGGTTCCAACCACAGATTTTTTTTTTTTTTTTTGGGGCGGGGGGGGTGACTTTAAAGGTGTATTTTTGGAAATTGGATGACATCAAGGGGATTTAAAATCACAACAAAATGTAGCAGTTCTGTACAAAAGTATGTCTGCTCTTTTTTGGTTTCATTTCCATTTGATGGACAGATGTGAGCTGGATGGATGAATGGATTGGTGGGGTTTGGGTGAGTGGATAAATGGCAATGAACACTGAGTATTTCACCCCCTAATCATCTTAAATATGGCCTTTCTTCTTAACTGCGTTGTCAAGTGTGCTAATGCCATTCAGAAATGATTGTCTTTACTTATTAATGTGCAGAAGTAATGCTGAATCAATATTTAAATAGCCAGTGTAACACATTGCAAGATGAATAAATAATTCATTCATTGTGGACCTCTTTGATGGATTTCCTTAATTAGACAGCTCGAGCGGGCTCACTTTACATTTGTGTCACAGTTGACAAATATTTTGGTTTGTTTCTTAGCAGGATTACGCAAAAGATGACATTTCCACTTCATATATACCGTAGTGGTGCAAATCCACTGGCAGGTGAGAATTGAGGAATCCTGATTTGGACAAACATTTTATCTTTTATTTCTGTGATGGACATTTTCAAATTTGTTTTTGTTGCTAATAGACAGTTACGACACTCTTGTGCTTCAGTTGGCCTACTTTGATGATTGACAGTTACATTTTTTTTATTTGCATCATGTTTCAGTTTTGAAGAACAGTCAAATTTTCAGGTTTTACTTCATTGATGGACAATCACATTGTCAATGTTATTCTGTGATGATGGACAGTTACAACGTGTTCGTCATACTACTTCTGTCATACGAGACGGAATATTTTCCTGTTCGACTTCTTTAATGATGGACAGTTATGTTTTCTTCGTTCTGCTTCTGAGGTAATCGACAGCTACATTTTCTCATTTTATTTTGTGATGGACACATGGAATTTTTTCATTATCTATTTATTTTAGTGATGCTTTTCGTTTTCTTGCTTTATTTCTGTTGGCTGGCTTTACTTTCTTCCTCCTTGTCATAAAGAGACATATTCAGTTTAACGAAGATGATTTCATTTCTGGTGCATTTATAATATTGTACTGTTTTTTTAAACTTGAATTGAGGATTTTTAAAAAAAAAATCAATTTACCTTTATAGACTGATATAAATAATTCTCAAGCCTCACATATCACCTTTTGTCTGTTCTGGAATAACTCATATGACTGCTTGAAGAAATAATGTGCATTCCTTTAAGTAAAATGGTAAATGCCTGAGTATGATATTATTGAGTGAAAAACATTTATACAATGTACTTAAATTATTCTATGGAATTGGCGTTGTTGGCCCAAATTGTGATGCGCAAAAATGCCTTTCATGTATGCTTCCCATCATTGGCCTGGATAACATGGCTTTGGTTATCAGGGTGGGAGATTTGTGTGTCGTGGAATCGGAAGGAGGGGTGCTCACTCTTACAGTACCGGTATATAGACCCCCACCGACTGAGTATCCTCCCTCCCTCAGTGCAGCGAGGAAAACTCAGCAGATGGCGGAATCCTTTCTGAGGGCATTTCAGGCCCCTTCTGACGGTTCCATTTACTGGCATACAACAGTTAGCGCTCCTTAGCACGTCGACATGCTTGAGTGAATATTACGCGATGGGCATTGGCTTAAAAGTGGCTCACAGTAAGCTAATTACCGTCTTCAGTGTGGGTTCTGCTGTGTCATCGCCATGGCAACCCAGCGTGAGCTAACGGAGATCCGCGGATGTAAATGTAGGTGTCAACTTTTCAACTCGTATTTTTTTTTTTTAAATAGGAGAACTAGAGGAACGTGTGCATATGGGTCTTTCAGCGTGTTTTACCGAGCAAAGACGATAAAAGGTTGAAGTCGGCTTTGCTCTGCCAAGGAATCCAGAGGAATGGACACAGACATGGACTGGTGAAACATTTGAGTCAGGCCGGCAGCCCTTGACGAAGATAATGAATCTGTTTTCAGTTGGGGAATCAGTTTGTTGTTATAGGAAATAACGGAAATAGCAATATTGTGATCTCTGAGCGAGTCTGTGTTCCCACCACCCCAAAAGTTTAGACTGTACTGAGATTGCCTATAGATGCCATGAAAAAGTGGCAAAGGACTACTTTTGTCGAAATATTTAACTGAGCAGCCAGGACAGACTCCTCACCTTACTGTACAGGCAATGTTTTACATAGCATTGTGGCATTCTTTTAAGTGGAAAAGAAGTCAACATGGGTTATTACACGAAAGGCAAACAACACAGTAGCTTAAATAACTAATTTCAGTGTATGGTCTTGACTTCTATTGAAAAGCCTGGTTGAAGTTGCTATTAATGTGGAGGAGGGGGGCTAAAAAAAGATAGACCCAAGTTCATCTTTTTGATGCGTGCTTACTAATTTTTTCCCCGTTTGTACTCTAGATGAAAAAAAAACAAAGACTATTTAATGCATTAATTCACACAAGAGAGTAAATCTGAAATGAGTGCACTGAACAACAGACTGCAATAATTGACTTCAGCCATCCCGATCTTTGTTGCCATCTAGTGGTGATTGTAACCAAAACACCATGACATCATGTCTGCAGCGAATGATGAAGCCAAGTCGTTTACGTACGTATAACGAGTGCGGTAACGGTGCTTAGTGACAGACGAGTGGCTTTTTACAAGTCTTGTGTAAAGTTACGACCCTTTCCCATGATGGTAACAGAGGAAGGGTCTAACATGCGCGCGGGAGTGGGAGAGGAGTAAATAGTGGTGCGCTGTCAAGGTTTGGGCTTTCTAAAAACAAACAGGGGGGATGGGGTTGGGTGGTGGTGGATAAATAACTTATGAGAACGTACGACACAACAGGACGAATTTTGGAGTCAAAATTCCCGAGTTCCAGTGCCTTAGTGCAACACAAATGAATGAATGGTGAAATGAATTACCCAAAACTTGTTGTGGCAAAATTCCTTAAACACCCCAATGACTAAAGTGGCGAAACTAATGGTTATCGACTATTGCGGAGAACTACTGTAACTTGTGACACTATAACTGAAAGGCAGTGGTACCAAAACACACACAAGGGATTGGGGCTAAAAAACACAATCCCCCCCCCCCCCCCACCCACACAACCACCCACCACAGTCAAACTGGGGGGTTCCCTGCCCCTCCAGCAGTCCAAGAGCCACAGCTTGGGAGTCCATATGGGGGGGACATTCCTCCATATGTGGACCTGGGGGCTACTGCTGAAAACCTGCAGAATAGCAGATGTCCAAATGTGAAGAGAGCACCTTCTGTCCCAACCCCCCCCCCCCCCACACACACACACACAGCAAAGCCAGCTCCAGGTGCTGACTAAACACGCAACACAGGACAAACCCCCCTCTTCGCAGAGGATAAAGAAAACCGTACTGTGCAGTCTATTTCTGTGGGTAGTACCTGTATTACATTGTCTGTCTACATGTTACTACACTGTTCATCTTCAAGAATCCATTGCTTAAAGCTATATAAATAGCCACATCAAGAGTAATCATTGCCGATGTTAGCATTATGCTAGCCGACTGAACGTTTAGCTACATGGATGTTAGAAAGAAATGTGTCACTCTTTGTTTTCTATTTAGTTTGACAGTCAATTTAAACAGAGTGGGAATAAACAATTTGAAGCTGAAATACTGCAAAGTGTACTATAATTATAAATCCTTGGGGGCACTTGGAGAAGAGCATGTCACAGCTAATGTACGACACTTTTGAACTTTTGAATTGTTTTTCTCTTTTGTGGGGGTTGGTTCGGGCACATGTTTGATTTAACAGCTTTGTGGAAGTCTTCTGGCAGGCTGGTTCACTTTGATGGTCTTGTACGAGACAACAGCACCACTGAGTGGTGATTGGAGGCACATCTCTAGAAAACACACAAGTAGTGGTTGAGCCAGATTTCAAGATACGACTGCTCAGGATTTAGAAAACATTTTATAACACGCACAAATAAAATTTCATCTCAAATTTTAGACAGCACTCGGTGTGCAGCATAGGTCAAAACTTCAGAACAGAGCTGAAAGGTCTCTGTTATCATAAAACATTAATCAGTTCTCTCAACCGTCGGATGACTGCAACTGTTCGTCCAGCGACCAAAATTTGACGATAACTTTCATTATTATTTTTAAATGAGTCAATTTCATTTTTGACACAACGGAAGGTGTGAGCTGCATATTACCTGCAAAAAAATGACAAATATTTGGGAATATTTGTTTATCCATCTATTTTTCTATGTATTCTTTTTGTATTTATTTCATCTATTGATATCTATCAATATATCTATTTTATACATGCAATATTTCTACAATATAGTATTTTATAGTACTGTACTTTTATCAACGTACAGTATTATGATTTGAATTATGTAATGTTTTGTATTATGTTTGTCTTTTTTAGTCATGGTTACAAGTGTGTACTAAATCAGCCTCACCAGGAGAGTGCTTTTCATCTCGACCCAGGTTTTGCCCAGTCGTCTGTTTGAGTCTTGACCTCACCAGGTTTGAACGCCCTGTTGATGAAGAAAATGTTCCAACATGAAAGCCTTCACTCAACACAAAACGGCTTCCTGCGAATCTCACCGCAGTCCGTCGCCGTCCTATCCGCAATCTTGTCCTGCAGGTGCTTGCCGATGATGGCCTCAGCCCTCCTCCCGTTGGTGAGGATGTCAGGCAGGGCCATGATCTCACTCTTTCTCAGGTTGCTCTTCACGGCCGAGGTGGCAGTGGAGCGAGCCACCGGAGGGAGGAGCTGCTGGTACTTCTGGTCAGAGAAATCCAACTCTGGGCTTTGAGCTGTTCGAGGCCTGAACAGAGGATTTTATATGATGGAAAACTGACCTTTTTATGGCTTGTATATGTTTGAAGTGAGAGCAGAGCAGAAAAAAGCAAGAAGGTAAAATAATAGTATACTCCATCTTTTGGTAGATTCTGACTAAAAATGTACAGGTTGTTGTTTAATTTCACTTTAAAAATGTATGATTGTTAGCTTGAACATTTTTGCATCATGCGGTGGGTTGATGTCTTCATGATACTTTGGGACACGTTAAGGTCAGATTTTGATCTATGCTGTCATAATGTCATTACAGTCTAGATTTAAGCAGACGGTTAAAAAAAAGCATGTTGTGTGTGGATGCTTGCACCCACATGTTGATAGTACTCAAGGCCGCCATCTACAGGACTGGCATCTGGCACATCCTGCTATCTTTGCATCACTTGAGGATCGTTTGGCCTTGGCCTTGTGTCTGCAGTTAAGTGTCACCTGTGTTTGGTCAGGACAGAGTACACCTGCTGCACCAGCAACTCAGCAGCTCCGGGTTTACAGTGGATAGTCCCGTAGACCAACTTCTCAGTCAGGTGCAGACGCAACTTCTGCAGTGTCTGGTAGCATAGAAAAAGATGCTCTGATTGATACATTTGAAATTAGAGTGATGACATCACACACAGATATATGTAGGACCTTTATGGCATTCTCTCCCTTCAAAAAGGGACCACAGTCAACTGAAAACAGATTTAAACACATGATGAAAATAACTGCAATTAAATGATGCCATAATCTGGTTACTTCCAGCTATTGTTCTTGCTTTTACCCGGCGTATCTTGTTCCAGTTGTCCTGCTTGGCAGAGAACGATGCTCCCTTGCTGTATGAATGCATTTCAAAATCCCTTGGATAATAACGGGAAAACATTTCAGCCACATGGTAGCCACTGGCAAAGTCCCTGGGGAGAAAAAAGACAACACATACAAGTATATGTTAACACGCTGACAACGGTAGAGCGATTCATGGATTTGATCTTCAATCCATCCATCCATCCATCCATTTTCTGATTGGCCTATCCTCACAAGGGTTGCAGTGCGTGCTGGAACCCATAGCTGCCGTCTTTGGGCAGTAGGCGGGGGACACCCTGAACTGGTTGCCAGCCCATCGCAGGGCACACATAGACGAACAACCATCCACGCTCCCAGTCACACCTGGGGACAATTTAGAATGTTCCATTAACCTGCCATGCATGTTTTTGGGATGTGGGAGGAAACCGGAGCACCCGGAGAAAACCCATGCAGGCATGGGGAGAATGGTTGTTTGTCTATCTATGCGAACCTTCGTTAGGATATGCACCTCAGATAATGGATGGATGGAACATGACAAAATTGATTGTTTTCCCTAATTTCCCCCCTCATTTTAAGAACCAATTTACAATTATTTTAACAACCAATTAATCTGTTGATTACTTTGTCCATTAATTGATTTAAGAATTGAAAAAGGGGTTAGTTTTATAGCATCTTTTGGTCATAACAATACATGATGAATGGCACAACAAATGTTAACTCAAGTTTACCAAAATGTTTGGAGAAAAGGGATTTTTTTTTCGTAAGAATTGTTGTGAATATGAATACTACTGATACTACGAATAATGACATTTATAATATGAATATGTATATTTATTTTTAAATGCCATTTGACGATTTATTACCTGCGTACGTTCATTAGTTGGACGGTCAGTTCGAGGCCTTGCAGCCATCTTGTGACGTCCCTCGGCAGCCCCGTCATAGTTTTTCCCCCCCACCCCCTTTCTCAATCTCTTTCCTGGCTTGAAGCCAGACACCACACAAATGGAGTCGAGCTTTCCTCGTTTCCAACTCGTCGTCTTCGTCCCCCTTTGTCACACGGGGGTGGCTTTGGCTATAGTTAAAACTAGCCCGTGTGACGTTTCAAGTCTTTGTTGCATAGCGCGTACTGTATCTCCATGGCAAAGCTGTTTCTTTCTCGTGGTCTCCCGGTGGGAGAACGACACAAGCTGCAGTAGCGATTTGCTGCCCCACGGTGGTCGGATTGAAAATACTACAATGCAAGGCAGCTTTTTAGAACACACTTGATTCTCAAAACAACTCAACGTGCATCACACAGCAAAGACGCAGCGCCTAAAAACATTTACAAAGAGAACATTCAGCAGCGAAAACAAAAGCCTCTTCCAAAATTGCCAATATAAGCCATAATGACATAATTTAAACACATGACTAGAACACATTGAAAACATGTTCAAAATAACGTTGAGCAAAAAGGGTTTTTTTTTGTTTTTAATTATATAAAAAAAAACATTACAATGTTGGTCACACCTTAATTAAATGTATGGGGGGTGGGGGAGTTTTTAATCTGGATTTAAAAGCATTTAAATTGAGGGCTGACTTCACTTCTTTTTGCTGTTTATTCCATTCACATGCAACAAAACAACTACATTCAACTTCAACATGATTACTTTGAACTCTGAGCTCCACTATTTTTAGGACTTTAAGAAGAGCTGTTTCTGTACTGTGACAAGGTCGGAAGCCTGAATGGAATTGATCATAAAGTCCGTTTGAATTCAAGAATAAAAATAAATAAAAACAATTTCCTCGACAATCTTGGTTAAGAAGGAAAAGATCAGCATTTTAAAAAAAAATTTTAAGTGGCTTGACCGCTGCTACTTTCCGGGTGTATGAAGCTTGTCTTTAGGGAAAATAATACAAAAAGAAATAAATAGATAAATATATAAATAACACAAAATAAAGCATTTTATTGTGTTTTTAACAGTTTACAATGCAGAAATAGATGCAATAAAGTACAATAAAAGTGCATTTTCTGATAAATGTTTACAAAGGCGATCCATTTACCCACCAGTCATCCATGTGAACGTTCATAATGTAGGATTGTAATGGCTCGCTCCCACGCATGTTTTGCCAAACAGGCAGCTCACAAAAGGTTAACTTGGGTTGAGCAGGCACTCCAGAGACTACTACTTGTATACAAGCTGTTAAAAAGTTATTTTTGCCAGGCAGACGTTGTCACTGGTACTGCAGGAAACTTCTGATTCGACTCGGCAGGGGGAGATGACAAAGGAGGTGCAGTCGGTCCTGTCCGACGCACGTCCTGATGCACTGGCGGCACAGCTGACTCAACAGTCGTGGCATGGCTACAAGAAGGGGAAAAGAGACACATTACGGAAGGCGTTTAATTAATAAAAGAGACAAGCACAACTTTACCTTCGTAGAGAAGCAGGAAGCCTTCTGTCAAGCTGCTTGGTGGGGCCACCTCCACTGGTCGCCGACACTCACCATCCCGGGCGTTGATGTCGGCGCCAAAGTCAAGCAGCAGCTTCACCATCGCCGTGCAATCTTTCTCTGCTGCTGCATGCAAAGGCGAGTCCAGGGATTTGCCTTTTTGAACGTTAGCGCCTGAAAGTGAAACACAAATTACATTGCGTATGGTTAACCTCCACAGAAACCCCACAGAATAGCAAACCGCAGATTGGCAGTCGCTCACTGGATTTGAGATTTTTCAACCTTTAATAATGTCTCGGAAACCATTTTGTGTCAGCCTCAAGACAATTGCGCTTGTAAATATCACCAATGGATGATATTTAAACACCTCCACTGTTCACATTGACCAGAGGTGGCTCGTAAATGCTAAGCGTTAGTGGTACGAAATGCTCAGTGGTTGCATTTTGAACCTTGTCGACAAGAAGAAAAGAAGCAAAATCACAGAATTAAAAGAAATGATGTCATGGCATTGTAAAAGTAGAGTGACGCGTTCAAGAAAAACGGCACATCAGAAAGCGTAAATAGATAAGTTGATTCACTGTGTGGATATATAATTTTGCAACTTTTTCTGGCAAGTTGAAATTACAGATGTAAGTGCAATGCTGATACATTCATTGAATGCTGGGAAATTGAGAAATCAGGCTCTTAGTGTTTAATTTGTCCCCAATTGACAAACTGACCAACCAAAATGATGGACCATTTAGTCAGGTACAGCAAACATGAAATCATAGACAGAAAAGCAACGACATCATGGCATCATTTAAAAAAAAAAAAAAAACAACAATGCTGGATTCCAGAATGCTGGGAAATCCTAAAAGTCTCCCCAGCACTGAACATACCTTCCCGAAGGAGTTTCCTGGCACATTCCAGTTCCTGGCAGACGCAAGCGGTGTAGAGTGGCGTGCCCAAGTGAGGGATGTCCATGTCTACATCCGTACCCCACGTCAGCAGAACCTCCATGCAACCAAAATGACCTTGACAGTGAGCAGGTGGGGAATTCAGACATTTTTTTCTCCAAAATATATCAGTGTTTTATACTGAAAATAGTTTTTCCCCCCTTGAAATATACTAGTTCATTTCTACAAATTATCAAGATTTTCCATAAATGGATATCAGCAGATACGGTAAACCCTGAACGGGTTGCCAGCCAATAGCAGGGCACACATACACGAACAACCATCCGCGCTCATACTCACACCTTGGGACAATTTTGAGTGTTCCATTAACCTGCCATGCATTTTTTGGAATGTGGGAGGAAACTGGAGTACTGAGAGAAAACCCACGCAGGCACAGGGAGAACATGCAAAATCCACACAGGAAGGTCTTCAAACCTTCTCAAGAACATTACTTTTTTCACTCAAAAATATGTTATTTTAATCCAAAATGTGCAATTAAAAAAAAAAAATCGAAACTAAATTTTCCCTTAAAAACAGAACTTTTTTAAAATATATATCTATAGGACTCATTTCTATAAAATACATGATTTCTTTTTGGGGAGAATTTACAAACTTGTCTTTAATTTTTGTTTTTTTTTTGGGGGGGGGGCTCCAAATTTATTATTTTCTCAAGATGAACAGTGTTATTTCTGAAGTGCTAACTTACAGCACTGTGATTTAAGGGTCTCTTATTTATTTTTTATTATCCGAAGCAAGTTCAGTGTTGAGTACTTGTATTGCTCAGAAAAATGTCCTTACTGATCTTGATATGTTAACCTAAGCACTTTTTATGGACCTGATGTTCTATTTTTATTTTTATTTTGTGATTATTTGGAGATTTACAAAAACAAACAAAACGGTGATATTCACCCTGGTGGTCAAAACTAAAGGTTGCAGGTAGGATTTGGGACTAGTCTCAACTACAGCAGCAAGTGAATGGCTAGCACTGCATCTGTTCAAGTCTGTTTACAAACAATGAAAGACTTTATAATGCCACTTTTTTTTGTCTTTTGATCTGCCTCAATAACATAATGAATTAAAAATGAAAATAGGGGTTTTCTCAGCACTTTTTAGATTACATTAAAATATAGATTAATTAGATCAATTAATTACAGATCATAATTAATTAGTCTCACAATTATTTTAATCGCTTGACAGCAAAATTTGTAAAATAGACTACTTTTTCTCAAAATGTACATGTGTTTGGAAACTATGAGGCCTTTTTCCCCTCCGAAATACTGAGCAAAGTCTACTGACCTTTGCTTGTGGCCTCGTGGATGGGTGATGGCTGGTGTGGCAGACTCTGAGCTCTGGCGCCGTTTTCCAGCAGAACTTCAGTGCACGCTACACTGCCCACTGCGCAGGCGTTCCATAGCGGCGTGGCGCCGTCGACCGTCGAGGCATTGACCTGCGAACAACCCCTGTTGCTGTTACCACTGGGAAAGAAGATGATGTGAGCGTTTTTTGAAAAAGTCACCGACGTCAGCGCCGGCATCGACGAGGGCTCTAGCGCAGGGTGCGTGGTCTCCGAGGCAGGCTTCGTGGAGAGGAGTCACCTGGTCGATGGTCACGCTGTTCACATCATGACCCTGAACAACCACAAACACGCACACACACACACGCACGCACACACGCACACACGCACGTACACACACACACACACACACACACACACTTTGAGTCAAAGTACGTATTTTACATTTGAAAAGGCAAACCACTAAAACAAAAAGGTAAAAGTCCAAACAGCTGTGAAATCATGAACGATGATGAATTGCATTCACTTATTCGAACAGGCTGATGCACTGGCACTTAAGATGGTACAGGACTTTCTGAGTATTCTAGCAACTTCTTCACCTCAATTTCTGGGAAGTTTTTTTTTTTCATGGGAGATTTCTCAGGCGTGGCCTTGTCAAAAAAGGAAATGACTGATTAATGAGGAAAAATTCGTAGTGCAAAAAAATGACTGCCCACTCATTTCAAACCTGGCACTAAACAGCAATATCCTAAATGTCACACTAGCCCACTTTAATGCACAGTTCCTCAATTGAAAGTGTGTATCCTTGGTCCTTGACAAACGCCTTTCATAGTTGAGATACTTTTTGAGTATTAGTACTTTTTGGGTGGTCGTGCCGACAAATAAATGTCAATAAAGATGAAATCCCCCTTTACCTGTACAATGAGGGTCCTGAGGGCGAGGAGGCGACCTTGACTAGCAGCGTCATGGAGCGGCGAGCGGTCTGTCCAGGATCCTGTGGGTGGCATAGATGCATTTGTTCATCAGATCGTTGGTCCGTTCATTCGATGATTCATTAGTCAACCGTGAATGCTCCCGCTGAGAATCCTTTACAACACATGAGCTGTTTGGTACACCGGCTAATGGCGCTACGCTACATTGCACAGGTAATAGTGCTAAAAAAGATAACAAGGTTAATCGCGAAGGTGAAGTGTGTGACATTAGTACACAATTTGAGGTGTTTACTACGCTCAGCTGGAACAGTCAATATGCAATTATGCTTCATTTATTTAGGAAAATAATCAAGCATAAGTGATACAAATGTCAACATGCCCGCGTACACTCAGGAGACATTTTATTAGGTACACCCAATGTGTTTCCAGAGAGTGGCACAAAACATTTAGAAAGGCATTCATCATTCATAAACCCTTAAATTGAATCAATGAGCTGCCTGTTTCACATTTGTTGTCATTTTTTTCTCAAGTTGGTATTTAATACTTTAACTTTTTAATCAATAATACCCAATTTGAGCTTAAAAATTGCTTCTCTTTC